TCTTGGGATGTGCCGCAACTCGACCCAGTAAAAGTCTCTCATTAGTTGTTCCCGCTTCTCTTCCAATCCTACCTTCTTCGGCATCCAAGGGTAAATTCTCACTTCTGATCCATCCCATCTCATTTTTTCCATCCATCCATCTGGAGCTTATCTCGGTCGAACATACAAAGGATTGTGAACACTGTAGGCGAAACTGGTTGAATTAAGAAAAAAATCATCAGAGTTTCCGGTTCGTTCGTCCATTGTTTCTAACCTTTTGCATACCCATTTGACCTTATCATTCATCGACTTATATACACTGAATACACAATAGTCATGCCATCTGCCACAATGTGACTCTACGAATCTACGATATGATCGATATCCACACAATATCATACATCGATAAGCTGATCATGGTCATCAAAATCATCGCACTCATAACGGATGTATGCCCAACTGCTTGCATGCTTTGTGTACAATGCGTTTCGATTCGCCAATTGTCTTGTTGGATAGGATTTTATTAGGGTCTTTCTTCCACCTTGATCAATCACGAGTTGTTATGAGGGAAGAAGAAAGAGAGACAGGAAGTAGGCCTTTGCTGATGGCATGTTTCTTAGGGGAACTTTCAACTCTTCAGCGGGTGATCCCTGTGGACCAATAGCTGGGCATTTGATGTTGAGCATTTTGCCAGCAGGGTGTCTCTTACCTGCTGGGCCCATGTCAGTTGCGCAATCTTGTCCTGCACTACCGAAGTTTCTGCCTGAGATTGCGGGGGAGACTGATGGGTGTGACAGTTGGACAGCAGATGATTTGTGATTCTTTGTGACCTGTACATTCGAATTTTCATGTATTCCTTCTTTTGCTCTTTCTTTTCATGTATTCCTTCTTTTGGTCTTTCTTTTCATTTATTCCTTCTTTTGCTCTTTCTTCTGCAGTGAGAACTTCCCCCGCACTGTTCTCCATGTCCTTCATTTCCAAATCCTTCCCTTGGTTTGCAGCAATCAGGAGTTTCTCCCCTGCATTTCGATGAACAGCCTGCACTGAGTTTGCCTCCCTCATCTGTTTCCTTCCTTTTGTCTCTCTCTCGCCTGACTGCACTCTCATTACGTCTCCTTCCCTCCCCACCTCAACTTTCCCTTCTGGTGGATGGCCCATTCTTGTCCCATTGTCTTCTCCCTAACCCACTGCCGCCTTCTCTTTAATCCAATTTTGACCCAATGCCGTCTGTGAGGACAGCATCCTGCCTGGCACCAGACCCCCATGGGCCATGGCTACCCGCTGGATGGGCATATGGCGAGGTACCCAGCTGACGGAACAACGAGTGCCTCATAGCCCCTGATAAAACAACAGGGATTCCTGACCTTTTGCCCGCTTATATCCTAACCTCATGTTGACTAAATAGACAAAAGAAAAATGAATCCCCCCCTCTCATCAGTTGTTCCGGCTTCTGTCCAGTGTGTTCCTCACCTTCGTCAATCCTGTTGCTCTTCCATTCCTCCTTGAACCTCCTCTTCGCCAATGACCCTGATCTCCACCCTTCACACCTGGACGTCCTTCCCCCCACTTTTTTCTCTCTCTTCTCTACCATTAGTTCAGACTACTCTCTTCCTGCCGTCACTATGGAAGTCTCCTCGACCTCTTGAATCAACACAATTGACGAGTTACTGCTGGTCTTTTTCACTGCTAATTTCTCACTGGCCAACAGTTTAAAGGCGAAATCTCCAAAAAAACTATTTTTGCCACTGATTACCAACCTCCTGCATCATCCCCCTGAGGAAATTATAATGCTCTTATCCCTAATGCTGAAAGCCAATTTGTTCACGTGTATAATTCTCTATTCATAGGTTCATTTGTCCTATAGGTTCATTTGTCCTTACTTCCTTCTCAAAACCTATGTCTGATATTACTTTCTCCTTTCTGTTTACCAAGATAGGATATAGGGATTCTCTCCCCCCCCCGTGGAAAGTGGGCTATTAAAGCGGGGTATTATCGCCGAGGCGGCGGCTTCTGTGGAGATGCAACTTTCCTTCCTCATTTCTGTTCCACCCTCCTCCCCCCGAGTTTGAACTAACGTTGATTCCTTATTCCTGAACTGTACGCCACACTCGACTCTCTTCCCAAGTTTCGTCTAATGTTGATTCCTCTTTTCTGAGCTGTATCGCGCCTGAGATCCATATTCTAAATCTCCAAGGGCATTCCTCCCTAACCACTGTTAACTTCAACAACGACGACTTTATGTCTTCCCTCCTCGTTACTACTCCACTCTCCTCCCTCTCGAAGATTTAGTCTGATGCTGCTTCCTCTTTCTGAACTATAACGCTATTGATACCTGCATTCTCAATCTCCAAGGGCACTCCTCTCTGGCCCATGTTGACGTCAACACCATTGATGTCATTTGAGTCACTTCACTTCAATCATAATAGATAGTTCCCTGAGGCCTCAATCTGTCTTGTCTATACGCTCTTGTATTGTATGGAACAAGGCACAGATTGAAAGTGCTCTCCTTGCTGAAATGGAGCACACAAAACCCACACTTCAGCTCTCAAGGGCAATCCCCGCCAGCCACCAACGACGTCAACCCTGTGACGTCACACAGGTCACCACGTGCACAGTTAAGAGGGCGCTGACCACGGATGTACATACGCGGATTCCAACGTGCTCTGCGGTTGATCTCTTACAGAGCTTGAATTGGGGTGCCATCCACGTCAGCCGGTGATATGGTGCATTCCAGTGCCTTCGTGTCACTGCGCGTGCGTTAAGTGTGTCCCTCCGGACTAGCGGCGCCAGGCAACGGAGGAACAAAGTGTGTCACTGGCGGTTTGGAAAATCTTGGCGCGTAGTGGAAGGCCGCCAGGCCTGCGTGTACTGGTGGTTTAAGGCCAGCCACTGATTGAAGACCTCATTTGGCGCAGGGCACACTTCACCCATTTCTGTGCAGCAGCCACGTGCCAGTGCCCATTATGAACTACTATTGCAAACAGCAGCATACTAAATGGATTTGCTGCGCCTGGTCTATCGCAGGTGTTGAGACGCCTATCTGTGGGTGTTGACCATTCTTCCACAAGCATGCACAGCCTCTCTCTCTCTCTCCCCCCCCCTCTCTCTTTCTCTCCCCCCATCTCTCTCTCTCTCATGCATGTACACACAGTCATGCTATAGACAAAGCCGGAACAAAACCACACACACACACACACACACACACACACAGAGAGAGAGAGAGAGAGAGAGAGAGAGAGAGAGAGAGAGAGATGAAAATGTGATGCAGGAGATGGGAAATTGGAGCAGTTGGCGCATGTGTACGAGTACGATGGGCTAAGGGGTGCACAAAGGTGGGGCATGGTTCTATTTTCCGGTACTGTCATCTTCCCGAGGAGTTAATACTGTTTGGTAGACAGAGGAGCAACAGAGATGAGGAAAACTATCTGAGTAATGGACAGTAGCCGTTTCCATTGTGGATACGAGGACAAGTGGAAGAGTAGCAGGAGGAAAATTGCAGGTAAGTTATGCCGTTACGGTGTAACGTTTGTTTTTTCCTCGTCGCCATGCTGAACGAGGAGAAAGGGTACAAGATGAGGACGGCAATAAGAGACCGAACAAGAGGAGGGACGTGGAGAAGAAGAGACGTACAGGAACCATCAGCAGAAGTGCGAATAACAAACGACGGAAGCATTTGAGAATGGCATGGCAGAACATGTACACGCGTGGACAAGCAGGAGCAGGAAGAGAAGGAGAAATGGGAGAGTAAGAGGCGTTGCATGCAGAGCAGGGGTTGAGGGCTTTTATTTCTGCTCTTACTGTGTTTGACTTTTTACCGTTTTCAGTATCTTTCATCTTGAGGCGTGGGGGGAGGTAGCCAATAGGATGACTGGAATGAGAGTAGTTCTTTTTCATTCATCTTTTGCACACATCTTTTGCATTTTGTTTGTTTGTTTGTTTGTTTGTTTGTGTGTGTGTGTGTGTGTGTGTGTGTGTGTGTGTGTGTGTGTGTGTGTGTTTTGTGGATTTCCACCGCAATAGCCCCTCTTCCACCCACATGAGGACATCCAAAATCTAAGCAGCTTGACCTCTATTGCAGACGGTGTGCGTATGTGTTTGTGCGTGTGTGCGTATGCAATAAATCACAGTTTCCCAGTGGGACTGAGTGTTCGGCTTTGTAGTTCGTTTTCTTGTTTTGAGCCTTGCGGGACTTGATCCCGACACCTGCAGCTCGTGTGTTTTGTTTGTGAGTGCTGCACCCTATGGTACTTTATCCCTGAGTCTGTCACTACAGTCTTACCCCAAACACAACGTACGGTCAATATATCTGAATTTGGTGGATCTTTCAGTCTAAATTCAGCTATAATGACCGTACGTTGTATTCGGAGGAAGACTGTAGTAGCCTCTGTTTGGTAGCCTTAGGCCATTCGGCCTTTTCCTGTTGCCTTGTTATAGGTCTAGGTCCCCTTTTCCCCCTGTTTCCATCTAGATGCAAACGAGTATTGGGTTGTTGCCTTTGGAGTCCGTGTCATAGGTCTAGGTCCCCTTTTCCCCCTGTTTCCATCTAGATGCAGACAAGTATTGGGTTGTTGCCTTTGGAGTCCATCGTAGGTCTAGGCAGAGGGTAGAAGTAGCAGGGCAGGCAATTTGGTGTGTGTCTTTCCACGTTTTCGTTGGCTGGGGAAACTCTGCCCTTCCGTTGCGTGTGTGTGCGTTGTTTTAAAAGACCCCAGATTTTCTCTCTCATGTGTGTGTGTGTGTGTGTGTGTGTGAGAGAGAGAGAGAGAGAGAGAGAGAGAGAGAGAGAGAGAGAGAGAGAGAGAGAGAGAGAGAGAGAGAGCTCATGGAGTACATGAATTTTTGGCACTGGTTTCTGTGATGTACAACCCTTGGTTCCGAATCATTTAGAACCAGGGGTTACTAGCAGAGAAAAGAAAGTCCTTTGCGAACAGACTCCAGAAGAGTGAAATCAAACAAACCATTCACCCAGCACATGGAATTTGCTGCATTTTGCACACTGCAGCAGTCACTGAAAGTAGTAGTGTTTTAAAGGGCCCGTAACCACTGTTGTTGTACCTCGTCATTTGGACCTGACATGCAAAACATGACATAAAATGGAAGGAAAAAAAAAAAAAAAACGTGAGGTTGGTTTTCAAAAGGCCACAGATAAAGGCCAGTGATCCTTGAGGTTCACTGCTCAAGACAAACACTCTCTCTCTCTCTCTCTCTCTCTCTCTCTCTCTCTCACACACACACACACACACACACACACACATACACACACACACACACACCTCTCTCTCTCACACACACACACACACACACATCTCTCTCTCTCTCACACACATGCACACACACACGTATGTGTGTGCGCAAGTACTCGACACACACACACACACAGTGGAGAACTCAATGCAATCAGTGGTCAAGATGACCGACCGTAAAATGGAGCGTTCTCAACGAAAATAATATGAATCAAAGAAAATCAAATGAAAGTTGGCATAGTGTGGAAAAGGATGCCTGAAGGAAAGAAAATGGTGGCCTGCAGAGAGATGAACAGGAACGGTGATCAAAGATCAAATCTGCAGCACTCACAAGGCCCTTTCCTGCCAACCGACAACGTATCCATACACCATCTCCCTCGTCACCTCATTGGTTGCATAGCATCCATACACCATCTCCCTCGTTACCTCATTGGTTGCATAGCACCAATCACACAGATGCATTCAACAAGACAAACTAGACATCCACCACCTGTCCACTACTATGCATCTACTGACCTGTGCCCATGCTGCTCCGTTTAACAGTGTCCCTGCATAGTGCAAACCATGCCGAGTGATGAAATCAAAGAGCACTCCACAACATATCTTCTTTGTCTTGAACATTGAGATCAAGGAGTCACCATGCCCAGTGATGTGCACACACATGTTTCTTTCTTCCTTCCCTGGGGGTTTCGCCTTTTACATCACTGTCGGGGAAACTCATGGATAAATTTTAACCTCTGGTTAAGCTTCCCCAGTTTACAGAGAAACCGTGTTAACGAATGATGACCCCTCACCATTTGCCTGCAGAAGAGGGAGGCAGAGCAGTGATTCAACGTCCCGAGTAGACTCGTGATGCTCTGGTGCCATTCACACAACGGATCGTCGGCGTTAGAGAGGTGATCATAAGGCATTGGACCTTCGCTCCATTTCGACGTCAACTTGAGATGTGCGCTCTGAAGCAAACAAGTCGAAGGCAGAGGAGTGATTCAACGTTGCGAGTAGACTCGTGATGCTCTGGCGCCATGCACACAAAAGGATCTTCGGCGTTAGCGAGGAGATCACGAGGCATTGGACATCCCCCTCCATTTCCGCGTCAACTTGAGATGTGCACTCTGAAGCAAACAAGTGGCAGCGTTGCGAGTAGACTTGTGATGCTATGGCGAACCTTTCACAATGGATCTTTGGCATTAGCGAGGACATCACGAGGCATTGGACCCCCCTTCCATTTCCGCATCAACTCGATATGTGCACTCCGAAGCAAACAAGTGGCAGCGTTGCGAGTAGACTCCTGATGCTCTGGCGCCATTCACAACGGATCTTCGGCGTTAGCGAGGACATCACCAGGCATTGGACACCCCCTCCATTTCCGCGTCAACTTGAGATGTGCGCTCTTAAGCAAGCGGTGGCAGCGTTGCGAGTAGACTTGTGATGCTCTAGTGCCTTTCACAACGGATCTTCAGACTTCGCAAGGATATCGTGAAGCATTGGACCCCCCCCCTCCATTTCCGCATCAACTTGAGATGTGCGCTCTGAAGCAAACAAGTGGAGGCAGAGGAGTGATTCAACGTTGCAGGTATAGACTCATGATGCTCTCTGGCACCTTTCACAATGGATCTTTGGCATTAGCGTGGACATCATGAGGCATAGGACACCCCCTCCATTGCCCCGTCGACTTGAGATGTGCGCTCTGAAGCAAACAAGTGGCAGCGTTGCGAGTAGACTCGTGATGCTCTAGCGCCTTTCACAACGGATCTTCGGCATTAGCGAGGACATCGTGAGGCATTGGAGCCCCCCTCCATTTCCGTGTCAACTTGAGATGTGCGCTCTGTAGCAAACACGTGGCAGCTATCTTCGTGCCAAGCCCCGGGACCGCTCCATTTGCCAGAACAACACCTGCAGCAGCCAGGAGAAGCACAACACGTTTTCGCCTCTTCTGCCTTTCCTGAGTGCTGCTCTCTGGTCTTGCAGCTGATTGTTGCCTATTCATAGTCGTGGGACGCCTTCGCAGTCTCAGTGATGGCAATCTCGGCAACCTGCTCAATAAATTGGAGTTCGTTGCACTCGCAGATGGATCTTGTGCGCTCGCTGCAGAGTTGTCCGCTGACCCCAACACAAGGGTTTGCGATACCACCCTTGGTGAATGCTCCGATGATTGTCCTGAAAGGGCCTCCAAGAGTCGTTGTGGGACCTATACGCACACATACGTGCAGTACAGCAGCCAGTAGGGTCATCCTCATCCTCATTATCCCCAGCACCATTACTATTGCAGTATTACCCTTCTTATTCTCCTCATTCACACCCCAGTACGCACACGTAGGTGGGTATACGCACGCATACATGCGGGCATTGCCCTGGGCCCACGTATTGGTTACAGAGGCTGGGCCTACACAGTCTTCAGAAAGGGGCCCAGGACACATGGAACTGGGAAAGGATTGGGCCTGGGCGCAGCCTCCACAGCCTCGCCAGCCAGCACAAAAGCAATGAGGCCGCCCAGACAGACACAGTGGGGCATTGAGGCTGAGTGGTCACACTGCCGGAGAGCACAGCCAGGCAGTGCCCATGGAGGAAGCTGCTGCGGTGGCAGCGAGCAGGAGGAGGGTGCACACCAGCCATAGCCAGGATAAGCCTGCCGTGCGGTGATCCTTCGGGAAGGAAGGGAGAAGGGAGGTAAAGAGAATGAGGCCCGTACCTGGTGTTGACGAAGGTAGGCTGTTCAATCAGCAGAATTCATGCAGCATTGGGTGATTGACACGTGGATAGATTGCTGGCATAAAGATAGGCTAGATGCAGAGGAGCTAGGAAGTAGAGTGCGCGTCCAGGACGTCAGTAGGAGCAGTACATTGTCACTGTATTGATGGGAAAGGCGTGTCATTGGTCTATTGGGACCAAAGTGGGCCCACTTTATCAAGAGGCTTTGGTGTATTGGAACCAACGTGGGCGTGTCCCATTCGCCCTGTAGAAAAAGGCCACCTTAACCACGTGGAATAAAGGTGGGATCCAAGTGGGAATATAACGTTGAAGGCACGAAGGAATGAGTGGGGGTTGGAATATGCTACCTATACACAATACAAAACGCAGGGTATGTTCCAAAGAAGAGCGACGGCATTGAGATATTGAAATTAACTGACCGTCCCCAGGTAACTCAGAATTGCTTTATTCTGTTCATCTGATGCATCTGGATCCGAGCTTGGGTATGTATTTCAACAGTGCATGGGTGTATTTCGAACTTAATCACTAGGCGACCTGTTGCGGCTACTCCCGCAATAAAGAAGGAATGTTCGCCAAGAAAAACAAAGAAGTTGGAATCTCTCTCTCTCTCTCTCCCGCCTTGCGGCTGCATGCATGCACGCGCCTGCTTCGCTCGCTTTTTTTCGCCCCTGAAATCACTCGCACTTCCTTTTTTTCCCCCCGAAATTGGTCCTGCTTCTCGATGGACCACGGATCAGATATGAAACTGATCGGAACAAATACTACACCTTATCGTGGGGGGTTGATCGACTCTCTCTCTCTCTCGCCCACGCGTGCGGATTTTCCCTTTCTGTGTGTTTTTTTCAATGGTCCCAGTGGACCCTGAATCAGATATGAAACTGATCGGATAGATAATACACTCAATGGCTGGGGGGGGTCGTAGTTGGTTAAGACTCTCTCTCTCTCACCCGTGCTGTTTTTCGTTTCTTTTCCCATGATCAGCTACGAAACTCGTCGGTACAGATAATACACTTGATGGTGGTTGGTGGGGGGGGGGGAGAGGGGTGAGGGAAGGGGGTCGCAGTTAGTTTCTCTCTCTCTCTCTCTCTCTCTCTCTCTCTCGTGCACGTGCAGTGGACAGATAATACACTTGATTGTGGTCGTGGTGGGGGGGGGGCGGGCGTGGTTAGTTAGGGTCTGTGTATGTGTGTGTCTCGCGCACACCTGAGTGCGCAGTTTTTCATTCTTTTTTTTGCTGGGGGGGGGATGCCAACGGACCATGGATCAGATATGAAACGAATTGGAACAGATAATGCACTTGATGATTGGGGGGAGGAAGGGGGGGTCATAGGTACTCTCTCTCTCTCTCTCTCTCTCTCTCTCCGTGTCTCTCTCTCTCATACAAAAACATGTGTGCGCGCCCGTGCGGATTTTAGGTTTCTTTTCTTAATTTACTTGATCCCGATGGACCACGGCTCGGATATGAAACTCATCGGGACAGGTAATGCACTCGTTGGGGGAGAGAGGGGATCATAGGTACTCTTTCTCCATCTCTCTCTCTCATACACACACATGCGCGCGCGCCCCTGCGGATTTTAGGTTTGTTTTTTTAATTTGAATGATACCGATGGACCGATGGACCACGGATCAGATATTAAACTCATCAGGACAGATAATACACTTGGTGGGGGAGAGGAGGGGTCGTAGGTACTCTCTCTCTCTCTCTCTCTCATACACACACACATGCACGAGCGCCCGTGCGGATTTTAGTTTTTTTTTTTTTTTAATTTAACTGATCCCGATGTACCACGGATCAGATATGAAACTCGTCGGGACAGATAATACACTTGGTGGGGGAGAGGGGGGGTCGTAGGTACTCTCTCTCTCTATCTCTCTCACACACACATTTGCACGCGCGCTCGTGGGGATTTTAGTTTTTTTTTATGTAATTTAAATGATCCCGATGAACCACTGATCAGATATGAAACTCGTCAGGACAGATAATACACTTCATGGGGGAGAGGGGGGGTCGTAAGTAGTTCTCTCTCTCTCTCTCTCTCTCACACACACACACACACACACACAAAGATGGTGATGGACTCTGTCTCTCTCACACACACACACACAAAGATGGTGATGGACTCTCTCTCTCTCTCTCACACACACAGACACACACACACACAAAGATGGTGATGGACTCTCTCTCTCTCTCTGGTTCGCGCACAGGCTTGCGGATTTTCCACTTTTTTTTTTCTTCTTTTTAATTGGTCACGATGGACCATCCTGCTCAAGCCCGTGTCTACTCCCTCCCTCTCCTGCCTTCCCGTCCTCTCTCTCTCTCTCTCTGCGTTTGACCTCTTGCGGCTACGTACGCGCCCGCTTCGCTTTTTTATTTTTTTTTCCCGAAATCGCTTGTGTTTCAGGTTTCTTTTGTTTTCGAAACCGCTCATGCTTCCTTTGTTTTTTCTTTTCTCCATTATCTGATCAGTGCGCGAACGGATTTTCCGTTTTTTTTTCTTCCCTTCTTTTTTAAAGGTCTTGATCGACCACGGATCAGATATGAAACTGACCGGAACAGATACTACAACTGATCGTGGGGGGATGGTCGAGTTTCTCTCTCTCTATCTCTCTCACGCGCTCGCAAGCCTTGCGTGCATCGTTTTTTTTTGGACCATGGATCAGATAGTACACTTGATCGTTGGGGGGCGCGGGGCGCTGGCGCATAGACTGAGGTCTCTATCTCTCTCCCTCTCGCTCTTTCTCTAGTCTCTCTCCCGCGTCCTGGGCGCGGTTGTTTCCCCTCCCCCCCCCGCCCCCCCCCCCCCTTTAAGCGTCTCGATGAACCACGGAACTAATCGCAGCAGATACTATACTTGCTCGTGGGGGGGGAAGGGGGGGAGGCGGACGCGCAGTTGGTTACAACGGGTTCTCTCTCTCTCTCTCTCTCTCTCTCTCTCGTACGCGCGCATGCTCGGTTGCCTTTTTCTTCTTTTAAAAAAGAAAAGTCTCCATGGACGACGGATCAGATATGAAACCGAACGGAGCAGACACTACGCTTGATCGTGCGGGGAGAGAGGATCGGATATGAAACTGATCGAAGCAGGTACTACACTTGATCGTTGGAGGGGAAAGGGTAGCGCGGAGCGTGATTGGGTTCTCTCTCTCTCTCTCTCTTCTCGATGGACCAAGGATCAGATATGAAACTGAACGGAGCAGATACTATGCTCGATCGTGTGGGGGGGGAGGATCGATATGAAACTGATCGAAGCAGATACTACACTTGATCGTCGGGGGGGGGAGGCGCATAGTCAGTTAGGTTAGGCTCTCTCTCTCTCTCTCTCGTGCACGCGCGTGCTTTTTTTTTTTTTTTTTAAATAAAAAAGGTCTCGAAAGACCACGGATCAGATATGAAAGTGAACAGATCAGTTACTACGCTTGATCGTTTGGGTGGGAGGGTGATCGACGCAGATAGTACACTTGATCGTGTGGGGGGGGAGGGGGGAGGAGGCGCATAGTCAGTTAGGTTGGGTTCTCTCTCTCTCTGTCTCTCTCTCTCTCTCTCACACACACACACACACATACACACACACGCGCGCGCATGGACACATACGCACTCTCTCTCTCTCATAGTTCCAAGACCACAAAAAACGAAAGCAACACACGAATAACAAACTTACCGTCAGTCATCAAGGTGCGGTCGTTCGAAAGCCTTGACGCTGCACAGCTGAAGCCTCAGCGTCCACCATTCAGGATGTAGACATGGTGTGTCCTGGGTGAGTGTGTGTGTGTGCGTGTGTGTGTTCTGTGTGGGTGAGTCTGAGTATGTGTGAGTGTTGTTATGTTCGCTATAGAGAACTCGCAAAATGACTCAGCCAGACTGTTTCGTCGGACTTCCACCGACTCATCAGGAGGTTGAACCCCGACAGTCCGCCCAAGATGAACTGTACTGATGGCCAAGGACTCACCACGTTTGCGTGTGTGTGTGTGTGTGTGTGTGTGTGTGTGTGTGTGTGTGTGTGTGCGCGTGAGTGCGTGTGTTCGTCCGTGCGTGCGTGTGTGCATGCGTGTGTGTGCGTGCGTGTGTGCGAGTCCACGTGTGTCCAACGTGGAGCGAAGTCGTAATCCTGCACAGCAGCGTAGAAGTCAGTCGAAGTCGAGCGCTGTAGCCGAGGGTATGAAAAGTCGAAGTCGATTGGAGGGCAGGCGCGGTGTGGAGGCGGCTTTTCCCGCATCGCCTCCAATATCGGAAAAAGTTGCTTTCGTGCGGGCGCTTGGCGCTGGCCCGGCAACGTCCCGACAGTACCGGTGCTAGCGCGGGGGCCCAGTACCTTGTATGGTACCGGCTCTGGTGCGCAGGCCCGGTACCATGCGGGGTGCCGGCACTGGCGTTCGCGACCTGTACTGGCCCTGGCGACGCTTCACGATTCGGGACCGTCGGGCAGCAAAAAATCGGAGGGCCCCGATCTTCCGCTTGTCACAGGCAGGATATATATTGTCACA